CCGCGGGCGAGGCTCCTCCCGCGGCGCGCGGCAGCCTCAGCCTCCACCTATGCCTCGGCGGCCGGCTCGGGCGCCTGGCTAGTGAGGAAGCGTCCGCCCCGCCGCCCAAACCTGCCCTGGGTGCCGAGCATGCCCAGTGCCGCCGCGAGAGCGCGGCGCTTCGCCGTGCGCATTCCACTTCTCCTGGTTTTCGCGGCAGCAGCAGCAGCAGGAGAGAGGGGAGGAGGCCGCGGGTTGGGAGAGGGCCGAGCATCCTTGGGAACGCACACCCTGGCCCTGAGATGGGTGGATGTTCGGGAACTAGGGGAAAGCTGGAAGGGATCCGGAAAGGCCTGGAACCCCGGGTTGGACCGGTTCTCAAAGGGCTGGATCCTTCATTCACGTGCAAGATGCTCATAGTTTATTGTGCTGGGGCAGATGTCAGCCTGCAAACAAAGGCGCAGGGTGGAGGGCTTCTAGAATAGCTTGTGTGTGCACTGGGGGCGGGGGACAGGCTGAATGTGCATGCTTCTGGATGGAGGTGGATGTGGTTCTAGAGCAAAGAAGGCAGGACATCCATCTGAGGTCTTCCCACAGCGCCTGTCCAATCTTACCACCTCTTCCAGTGCTTAGATTAGACATGCCTCGCGCGGGTGGAAAGACTTTCTTCCTAACAAAAGAGGAAAGTGGTTTTGAATTTGGAATGTATGTAAACTTCCAGCAAGAAAGACCCTTGTCCAGTCTGGAACTTGAATAGATTGCAATGATAAATTCTCCTCCTCCTCCTGCGCCTCCTCTTCCTTCTTCCTACTTCAACACCTCTGCCACCTTCTCCAACTCCTCCCCTTCCCCCTCTCCCAGGCTGAAATGGAAAGCCTCACCCATGTCTCCCTCAATAGTTTTCCTATACACCCTGCGTTGTTCTGTTCATTTTCAGATTGGCTTTCTGTATCACTGCGTGGTTTGACAGCTCATTGACTCCATCGGGACTTCACTATGCCTCTCTTGCTGTGAAATACATACAGCAAGTAGAATCACCGTAGCGAAGGGTGAAAGTCTTGTTAGAAAACAAGAACCATGTCATGTGCCGAGGAAGTCCTCCGGGCCTTCACCTGTGTCCCTCTGTTTCAGAAGTCATGTCGGGGCCCACCCCTACTGCAGTTACAAGTCATGGGCAGGCAGAGTACAGCCTGCCCAGGGGCCAGGGCCAATGCTTCTGCTAATGATGCCACAGCGCCCCATCCCTGACGCTGTAGATCCCAGACTGTCTGAGGTTGTGATCTTTTCCACTCCACCCTCCTCAGAGCTGAGACACAGACAAGCATGGCCAAATACAGGAAATTGTAGTCAGAGGGATTTGGGGGCTTATGATTTTCAGTAACAAAGTATTTCTCTTTTGTGCCAGAAGAGATTATCCAAAAATTAAATGAATATTTATCTGAGGCTATTCTGTATTATACTTTGGAGTAAGTTAAAATATAATTTGAAGTAAGAGCAAAGGAGAACAATTTTAGACAGATTAAATAGGTAGAAATAAATGCAAGGAGCAGCAGATTAAGCAAAGACTTTTGACAACAGTACCGATGTTCGTTTTTAATCCTCCTACTCCAGGGCTGGACGTACATATACAGGCTTGGTCTCACCTGCAAAAGTAGTTGTCCAGCCTGGCTCCAAGTTTTAAAGCTGGCTCCATATTAAAATATTCCTGATTCCTGTGAGGGAGGACACTGCAGGGCCATTTTTCAGCATATGTTGAACTATATCTTAGTTCTCAGAAAGGCAATTCAATTACCGCGGTGTACTTGGTACAAGACGAATTAGCAGCACTGTATCCATTAGGCCACATTATATTTTAAAGGATGCTCTTCGTTTTCACCCTAGCTTTGGTCATATTTTTTATTTTTTTAATTTTTTACTTGTAAGCCTCTTTGCATATTTCAACTCAAGAAGTCATTTGCGGTGTGAGGGGGCGGATGCTGAGGCGAGGTCAATTACACTTTGAATTAAATTTGGAGTAGGTGCATAGATACGATCCAGATCAATATACGTGTCTTTTATGACTATATAGAATGAGTTAAGAAAATAATTTTCTAGGGGCCAGCCTGGTGGCCCAGTGGTTAAGTGTGCGCGATCCCCTTCCGCCGCCTGGGGTTTGCAGGTTCAGATGCCTGGTGCTCACCATCGCACGGCTTGTCAAGCCATGCTGTGGCAGCGTCCCATATAAAGTAGAGGAAGATGGGCACGGATGTTAGCCCAGGGCCCATCTTCCTCAGCAAAAAAGAGGAGGATTGGCATCGGGTGTTAGCTCAGGGCTGATCTTCCTCACAAAAAAAAGAAAGAAAAAGAAAAGAATTTTCTAAAGTTTTTAGAATTTTTTTTGAGATGAGCAGTGGCAAACCTTATTCACTAATTGTTTGCCTTGGAAATGGCCCATAGGCCGTCCCCATAGACTTCTTTAGAAGACAGCCAAGGTGGGTATGCAAGGAAAGCAGTGATGCCCTGAATGCTTTGATTTAATCTGCACTGTGCCCGATTGGATTGGGACATTTATGGTTTCTATTCTTCTAAAATAATGTTTACTTAAGATATTATTAAATGCACAGTTAGATAATATTGAAAAATAAAGTAAAAAGACGACGTGTAGTGTTAGATCTTGGAACGACTCACTGCTGCCATCTTTTGCCTCCTGCTTCTGATCATTCCTGTAAAAAGGAATATTCTGAATTCCCTAATTTAGTAGAAGACCAGAAAATTATTACTTTATTATTTTCAAATTATGGTACTCAATGCTAAATGAGAAATCTTTGTTGTTTCTTCTGTTTATGTGTCAATAGAGTTATGTGATACAGAAATCACATCTAAATATTAAGTGCCGTATTTCTTGATTTTTCAAATAGCTTTTCAAAATGTTAACCAAATAGATTTTTATATGGAAGTTTTACTTAATTTTTAGAAATAAAACCAAATGATTAAAAATATTTTCATAAGTTCATGTATCATATTTTATAGTTAAAATATGCCAATTTTAGGAGAATAATACCCTTGATCTGATTCAAAGCAATATAAATATAGCACCATATCTTGCTATTGAGGTTCAAATAGAAGATAATATTCCTGTAATTTTTAAAGTGAATTACTTATTGATAAACAAATGGAAATTTCTCAAGTTGGGAAATTAAACCATGTGAGTGATTGTTGTTGCTCTCCAGCATTTAAATAGGGAGAGTAATGACATTTCTTCAAAATTTACAATTTAAATTTTAAATCAAATTCTCTAGAATAGTAACCCAGTAGTGTCATAATAACTATATATGTGTGTGTGTATATATATATATATATACACACACACATATATATTTGAGGGGCTAATAAACACTGTTATTGGTCACAAAAGATATGCATTTGTTACCGGAAAATGTTACTCTGTTTTTAAAGATTTTCAAAGTAGTTAGCTAATTTTAATTAACCATTTTAGTTAAGATCAATTTATGGGTCATGTCACTATTTGGTTCGAAACTTCACAATTTCACACAAACAACCTTTTACCACAGCTACTGCTCATGTGATGGTGTCCTGCATTCACTCATTCATTCACCAGCAAATATTTATTGCCCATCTACTGTGGTTCAGACCCTGGGCAAAATTTGGAGACTCAATAGCAAACAATAGACAAGAAGACAAAATCCATATCTTCGTGGAGTTTAATTGTAAATCAGGGTTATTGGATGATGGAAGAAAAGGAAGCACACTGAGCAGGTAACCACACTCAAATATCCTCATTTCTTTCTAATTGTCTATAAGCTTTAGGGTGTTGGTGATTCTTTTATTCAATTCCTTTTTTTCCATGTTCTTTCATTGTTTTTGCCTCTTCAAGGGATTTTTGTTTATTATGCCAGGGCGTAGGTAGTACAATGAGGAAATAGGACCTACAGTGCTGAAGGAAAGCAAAGAGAGGGATAGAGAGAACATGTTCCATAATGGCTGAGGTTCCTGGAGATAGAGCGGAACCAGGAATGTTCTCAATGAAGGAATCAGAGAGCAGTGAGGTATCTAGTGAAGGCCCCTACGTGTGTCAAAAGTCACAACCTGGTGCTAAAATGTCTAAATTCAATGTAGGCTGGTCAGGCATAGAGAAGGTGAAGCATTATTGATCAACATGGACAGTGGGTCAGAAGTCTAGGTCAACAGGCATTGAAGAATTACATGTACAGAAAGAAGACATCAAATTATGAAGTGTGAAGCCGGGCACAGAATCCGAATAACAGGCACTGGCAGCAAAGTAAACTTTATGCTACGATTTCTCAGCAATGCTTATAGATTTCGTGGGTTTCTAGAGGATGAAGGAATTGACTCCCCAAGTTGACTGGCCTGATGCCTACAGACAAGACTAAGAAGGAGCAACTGCATGGAATAAGATACAAAGAGTAGAACAGGGGAGTTCTTGACAAGGTTCATCCAGACTTTCCACATAAACTTTAAAGATTTTATTTATTTTATTTTTTTCCCCCCCAAAGCTCCAGTGGATAGTTGTTTGTCGTAGCTGCACATCCTTCTAGTTGCTGTATGTGGGACTCGGCCTCAGGATGAACGGAGAAGTGGTGCCTCGATGCGCACCCGGGATCCGAACCCGGGCCGCCAGCATCGCAGCGCGCGCACTTAACCACCAAGCCACAGGGCCGGCCCCTCCACATAAACTTTAAGGCAGAGTTGATTTAGTACAAAAATTTCATCAACAAAATTTCAGCTTTTACACCAAACATCTAGGTCAAT